TTGGGCCCCTGCACCTGCATGGGAGACCCAGTAGAAGCTCCTGGCTTCAGACCAGCCCAGCTCCGGCTGTTGTAGCCATTTGAGGAGTGAACCAGTGGGTGAATATCTCTTTCTGCCTCCACCTCTCTGTAACTTTGTCTTTCAAATAAATAAATAAATCTTAAAAAAATAAATTGGCATCCATTAATGAAACAGAAGTGTGGTGACTAGTGGGAACTGTATTCACAAGAGGCTTCTCACAGCTTGGTTGCCATGAAGTACTCTCACCCTGATGGAGCTGTGTCCATTGGATTTTTTTTTTTTTTTTTTTTTTTAAGATCTATCCATTTATTTGGAAGGCAGAGGTAGAGAGAGAAAATAGGTCTTCCATCTGCTGGCTTACTCCCCAGCTGGCTGCAATGGATGGAGCTGCTCCAATCCAAAGCCAGGAGCCAGGAGACTCCTCTGGGTCCTCCACGTGAGTGCAGGGGCCCAAGCACTTGGGCCATCCTCCTAGACCACAGCAGAGAGCTAGATCAGAAGTAGAGCAGCTGGGACTCAAACCAGTGCCCACATGGGATGCTGGCATTGCAGGTGGCAGCCCCACCCTCTATGTCACAGGCCCAGCCCCTCTATTGGATATTAAACAGAGGTCAAAGGACTTTAGAATTATTTGAATGCCTTATGATTGTTAATGATTACACATGTTCTTATGGACTTAGCAGCCTTCTCCATTGCTTTCGTGGGGAACTGACACAATGCATTTACTTTGTAGGTGCAGGTATTTGGACTGTATTCTGGAGAAGAATTTCATGAGACTTTTGACTGTCCCATTAAAGTAAGTATTCTGCAAGTTTTAGTTTCCTAAGGATTTTCTCAATTAAAGCAATAAAGATAATAATGTGAGCAGTACTAGTTCTATGCTAATATTTTCAATAAGAATTCAAAAATTAACCACGTGCTAGATACCATTGGGATACTATGAGGGAGTCCAGGATGTATATTGAGTGACTGACCTCAGTCTGTCCTCAGGGAGCTTTTGGTATGGTGGGTGGGATCACACACACACACACACACACACACACTCTCCCAGTCTGTGATTGAAGGTTCAAAGAGGTAGTCACAGCATTTAGGAGATGGTCCCAAGTGAAAGGAGTCACTTCCAGCTGTTCTGTTAGCGACAGCTTCATGGATGGTGTGATCGTTGGGCTTTGATAAATGGACAGGTGCAGAGAGAAAAACTGGCTTTCAGTGGGGAAGAGAAGCATAATAGAAGTTGGGAGGCTAGAAAATTCCAATTGCATTCAGGAAATGGCCAACACTCCTGTCTAGATGGTGCGTACAAGACTGATTTGGTGAGAGAACTTTATAGGCAGACTGCACTGGCTCTGTATTCAAGCTGCAGGATTTAGCCTCCATCTGGTAGATAAGGAGGAATTATTAAATGTTCAAGAACAAAGAAGCCATGTAGACTAGAGCAAACTTCTGGAAAAATAATATGGTGACTGTCTACTGTATACATTGGAGAGGTAGTTGATAAATGAGGCAAAAGGACTAGCTTGAGGTAATAGTTATGGTAGTTAAACTGTGTTATAGTTGTTACAGGAATAGGTTGTTCATTTTGTTCACTTGTTCATTCAGACATTTATTGACCAACAGGTAAAAGAGAGATAGGGTCTGAAGTGTGTTTCAGAAAGCCTAATTTGTAAAAATGGAAAGTGATTTAAACAGGAGAGTGATTGGGAATAAGAGACAATTTCGAAGACTCTCCCACCTCTCTGTAAGTCTGCCTTTTGAATAAATAAATAGATCTTTTTTTTTTTTTTTAAAAAGGCTAATTTGACACTCCAGGCAAGTTATTACAGGATCTCAAAAGAAAAAAAAAGTGATTGCAAGTATTCAAAACAGAATGGAGGACATGAGTTTGGACAGCTTTTAGGAGATAAACTTATTTAAACTGCTAGAGTTAGACAGTGAGAGAGAGACAGAGAGAAAGGCCTTCCTTCTGCTGGTTCACTCCCCAAATGGCCACAACGGCTGGCGCTGCGCCGATCCGAAGCCAGGAGCCAGGTGCTTCCTCCTGGTCTCCCATGCGGGTGCAGAGCCCAAGCACTTGGACCATCCTCCACTGCCTTCCCAGGCCATATCAGAGAGCGGGACTGGAAGAGGAGCAACCAGGACTAGAACCCGGTGCCCATATGGCATGCCGGCGTTGCAGGCGGAGGATTAATTAAGTGAGCCATGGCGCCGGCCCAGGGATTGTTTCTTAAACACAAAGTTACTACCCACAGTTGAGTGAGATGACGCCTTTTAAAAAAATACATCATCCAGTTTAAAGCCGTAGAGTGAGAAGCGGAGAGGACTGACGGTGGATTCCTGGAGCACTCCAAAGACTCAGGGGGCGTAAGGAAAAGGAGCCGCACTTAGAGGGGCTGGAGGAAAGGCAGCAGAGCAGCGGTGTGTGGGGGGAGCCCTAGGAGAGTGGGTTTCCACGAGGAAGAGGTGGCTGGCGGTGTTGCAGGCAGTGTGGAGAATGGGTGGGGGGAGGGCTGGAATGAGGGCATTTTATTTGGTAATTATGAATTGTCTGGCAACCTCTGTGATGGGGAGAGTTTCAAGCGCAGGAGACTCACATGTATCCAGAAGGAAGCTGGAGGCAAGGAAGCTGAACCAGTAAAGGCTCTACTTTCAAGACATATGGTGGTAAAGAAAAGAGGTCATCTGATAGGTTGAGGGGCAGGATCCAGGGAAGATTCCTACAGATCAGTTCTGGTCCATGGTAAAACATCAACAAAGGGAGAAAGGTTAAGTAGAGAAGACAGGGGTTACTTAATGGAGCAGTGCTAAGCAATGAGACCAGAGCTTAGGCAGGGTGTAGAATCTTGGAAAAGAGGGCAAGGCCCTCTGCCTACAAGATAGGCATGAAGGCGGTCAGGCTGAGCCCAGCGACTGCAGAATCAGGCAGCGAAGATCAGCAGCATCGATGGCTTTATTTCCTTAAGCCTGAAGGACAGGAAAGGAAGGGGGGAGGGGTAAGGTCTTCATAAAGTTCACGGAAAACAAGTGTTTCTTTTAAAAACAACCTTTTTAAAAATTTTGCTTGACACCAGAAAGAGAAAGAAATTTTTATCTGCTGATTCACTCCCCAGATCCCTGTAGTAACCTGGGCTGAGCTAGGCTGAAGCTGGGAGCTGGAACTCAATCCCAGTCTCCCGCATGGGTGGTAGGGACCCAACTACTTGAGCCATCATATGCTGCCTTCTAGGGTGAACATTAGCAGGAAGCTGGAATTAGGAGTAGAGCCAGAACTTGAACCCAGGCATGTGACATTGGAATGCCCATGTTCCAGACAGTGTCTTAAAAGCTATGGGAAATACCCAACCCCATATTTTCACTACATTTTGTTCCATTGGCTACTTGTAGGGTGATTAAGGAACAGAAAAGATGGTTGGATAACTGTCACATATCTGGAGTTACCCATTAGGAGAGAGCTAAAAAGACTGTTGGGGAGATGTTTAAGAATGTAGAACAGCAGCATGTATAAGTGTTTCAATATTGGTGTTTAGGATGGATTAGGCAAGTGTTGAGGGAAAGAAAGGCTAACCTGAGGGGAAGGAATGGTTAGAGAAATGAAGGGTGGTAAGACAACTTAGGAAGAGGAATCTATTAGTCCATTCCAGTGGAGTAGGGAAATGTATTAGTTCATTAATAAGAATGTAAACTATAGTTTTGAAGATTTATTTATTTGAATGGCAGTGACAGCGTGAGGAGGGAAGGAGAGAGAGAAGGAGAAAGAAAGGGATATCTTCCATCTACTGGTTCACTCCCCCAGTTAGCCACAATGGCCATGACCAGGCCAGGTGGAAATCAAGAGCATGGAACTCCTTCCAGGTCTCCCACATGGGTGCAGGGATCCAAGCCCTTGGGCCATCTTTCTCTGCTTTCCCAGGCACATTAGCAGGCAGCTTGATTGGAAGTGGAGCAGCCAGGACTCAAATCAGTGCTAATTTGGGATGCTGGCATCACAGATGGCAGTGTAACCCACTGTGCTGTGTTGCTGGCCCTATAAAGCATATTTAATTAAAGGTTTATAAAAGTATAATCATGTGCATTTTTTTATTCCTAGGAATATTCCTTGAGTGGGTTTAGAAATAAAATTTGTTAAGTAGGTGATTTCATGGGTGGTTGGAGGATGAAGTGACGAGGAAGCAGAGTGTATGCAGAACTACAGCTGTAACACATGAGCCCAGATGCAAGCTGCTCTGAGGAAAGCCACTAGAACTTCACTGTTGCCTTCACTGTGCAGCCCTACTCCAAGTTAATAATGTCATATAAACATGAAGCCACTGGCAAATGACAGAAATAGTAACCTGGTGTTGGGACAGCCTTGGGGGAAAGCTGTGCAAAAAATGGGCAGGAAAGGGACTGACAGAGTGGAAAGCACATAACAACCACAGGAGTAGGAGGTTGGGATGTAGTAAAAGGGAAACTCCTGAATGGTTTGCTCTGCAGCTCTTGGGCCCAGGGGTTCTGTGTGTCTCTCACCAATGGGGTTTGATGTTGCTGTGCTGTTCTGCTTGGTGCCATCCATTGGGCAGCACCTTGGGTAAAGAGGTCATCAGGTCCTTTCTCGAGTTTTCTTCTCTGGTTTGTATTCAGTTACAAACAGTTGTGGTTTCTTGTTACCTCTAAAGAGGGGACATTGACTCAGAGGCCCCCAGTCACTAGAACAAGTTCATTCTAGTTTTTGAGTTTTGGCCTGGCTTCCTAGAAGATTTGAAATCTTTTCTCATAAAAGCAAGACTCAGATGTCGTCAGTTGCTATAGAATATTATCTGAATATAATACTTCCTACCAGGACATCAGGACAGTGCCTAGGTCACACTGTTTGGAATGCATAAAGGGTTTCATTCCGTGCTTTCACCATCACTCCTAACTTTCTCTTACAGATCATTGCTGTGCACCCACATTTTGTGAGATCCAGTTGCAAGCAGTTTGTAACCGGAGGGAAAAAGGTAAATTGTGTGTGTGTCTATCGTGACATGTACCTTTTGTGGGTATTCTGTCTGATCTCTAATTTATCCTTAATATTATTAACATCTGACTATAGAAGAAATTTTAAGAAAGAAAAATGTAATGAAATCATTAGACCATCATGTCTTGGGAAAGTTTTGGCCTCAGTGTTTCTTACAGTATTCCTGTGAAGTAGATAAAGGATAATTGAAATACCATATAGAAATTTGAAACTTTCTCCATTCCACAGGAAAGAGGCTGCATTTAAAATACCAAAAGAGCAGAGTGGGCATTTAGCCTGGTGGTTGGGATACCAGCACCCATGTCAGAGTACTTGGGTTCGATTCCCAATTCTGACTCCTGACTCCAGCTTTCCACTAGTGCCGACCCTGGGAGGCAGTGAGTGATGGCTGAGTAGTTGGCTGCCTGCCACCTGTGTGAGGGACCCAGACTGAAACACTGGCTCCTGCTTTCGGCTTGGAACAGTCCTGGCCATTGCAGACGTTTGGAAGTGACCCAGTGGCTGGTAGCAGTATCTCCCTCTCTCCCCTTTCCCTCTCCATCTTTCTCTCCTACCACCCTCTCCCTCGCTCTCTTCCCTCACCTGTTCTCCCTCTCAATAATAATAGTAATACCAAAAATATTTAGTGACATTTTCCCCATTGTGGAAAATCTCTTACAGGCCTTGATAAACTCATAGTACAATTATCTTTACTTGTTATTGACATCTTCCTGGCACATGTTATTGTCTCGGTGCTATTTTAAAAATAAAAGAGTGAAACTTTTTATATTAATATATTTCTGTTTATAGGTATGGTAAATTCTCAAATTAATGAATTTTTTTATATATATAGAAGTCAGTCTTTTTCTATTTTTACGAACTAGAGGTATTTTAAAACCATTTTTACATCAAAACATCATCACCATGGTGAAACTGAGTGTGATTCATACTGTTTGGAGCCAGTGACAAGGAGGCTATTTCTGCAGGAGCGCAAAGCCATGGGATGACTACTTTGAGCCCCAGATACCAAAGGGTCTCTAATATCTTACAATAGGTACGGGTTCTTCTCCCTTGGTCTGGAAGTTCACGGAATGATGGTGTGGGAAAGTGTCCTGGGCATCCCCTCGCTCCTTGTTGTGGCTGTCTTGGTTGGTCCGGGATCCTCATTGCGCTCCCCAGCATGAAGCCAGTGCTGCACCAGCAGCTCAGATTTCTGTTGAAGAGCTAGGCCCATCCGTCCACCTCTCAGCCCTTCGTTGACCACAGGCTCTCGCTCTGTCCACCTCGTGTTCAGCATCGTGGGGCTATTCAGTGGGAATTACTGACTTTGCCTCACAGCCTCTAGCTTAGAGCTATAGATGCTCCGCTCTTGTAGAAGTGACTACCTTGCTTATCTCTGTCAGCTCCAGTGTCGCTCCCCCTCTTCGTGGAGGAGCAACACTGAACCCTGCGCTGTTCTTTCTGTCTGCTCGGCCCTCCCCGGGTTTGCTGCTGGTTCTTCCCGGGTTGGCTACTATCCCTTCCACCTCCGTGGAAGGGCAGTTCCCCCTGGCCGCATTCCCCACTTCCGCAGGGGAGCGGCACACCGCCAGCCGGCTCTTTCGGGGGCTGCACGGGTTCCCTTAGATGTTCCCCATAGATGTTTTTTTTGCATGCCGTCTCTCTCCTCCTTTATAGTCCTCCTCCGCCAATCCCAACTCGGCTGAGTACGCTGCTCTCCAATCAGGAGCAAGTCCTACAGTTAATTGGTTGAACTGGAGGCAGCTGTGCGGAAGCTGTTTACTTCTCTCCCAGCGCCATATTGTGGGAGAGCAGATGCATAGAATAAGTCCTAATTCGAGCAACTCAGTCTAGTCCGGATTGCTCCCCACAGATCCCCCTTTCTTTTTATTTTTTGGCGTTGATACGCGCCTGTCTTCGGTGTCCCGCAGCACACACTCTGCTGTACTTGCTAGAGTTGCCACAGGCTCTTACAAGTCCTATCAATCAGGAAAACCGAATCCGGGTCCTCTCTTCGCCATTGTGAGGAGGTTTTTAGGCGCTGATGCGTGCCTGTGTTCGGTGCCCTGCAGCGCATGCTCTGCTCTGCTAGAACTGCCTGCAGGTGTTTACAAAACCTATCAGGCAAACCGAATCCAAGCCTTCTCATTGCCGTATTGTGGGGGAGACTTATTAGTGTTGGTTTGTGCCTATCTTCGGTGACCTGCAGCTCATACTCTGGTCGAGCTTTGCTGGCGCTTACCGCCTTAAATCAGGCAGACCGAATCCAAGCCTCCTAATTGTTGCATTGTGGGGAAGCTTTACTGATGTTAATTCGTGCCTGTCTTAGGTGACCTGCGGCTAGCCGCCCAGGTACTCATCGCCTCACTAATCGGGCAGACCGAATCCAAGCCTTCTAATTGGCATGTTGAGGGGAGGCCTTATTTTTCTCTATTTCTCTATCTCCGGGCATTTCTATTTCTCCCATTTTACTTCTGTCTGCCAACATTCCTATTTCTCTTTTACTTCTAAAACTTCTGTTTCTCTTATCCCCGCAGCTTCCCGGCACCTCGCCCTGCCGGCAGCTTCACGGCTCCGCGCAGCTTCCCGGCGCCTCGCCCCGCCAGCGGGCTCCGCCCCGAGGCTGCTTCTCCGCGCCTCGCCGGCTCTGAGCCGCTTCAGCCCGCGCCTCATCTGCGCGGCTTCCCGGCTTTGCGCGGTCCGCGGTCTCCACGCTTAACCCTTTCGCGTCTGAACCACGGCCTACGCCAGCCCCGTTCCCTATCTACTCACGCCCCGTGCTCTCTCTGCACGCGGCGGCTTCCGCGAGTAACACAGCGTAGCTTGCGTCTCCACCACTAGGATTCAATCCAAGTTCCCCGGGCTAGCCTGGCGAATTCAACCCAGCGTACGTCTCCGCCCCACGATTTGGCTTCCCGTCCTTTGCTCCCCGGGCTAATCAGACGGATCCCAATCTGGCTTACGTCTCAGCTTCTGGTTTCAACTTTTCGCCCCCTATTCCCGGGCTAACCTGAGAATCCCAAAGTGGCTTTCGTTTCCGCCTCGGCCTGCCCCCCGCGGCTTCAATTTCCCTAACATTTTTCTCTACCCGGTATGTTTCCCCAAGCTTTCCTCCAACGATATTCCTCCCTCATTTCTCCTGGCCTCTCCCCACAGTCCGCGTCCGAGTCTGTTTGTTCTAGCTTTCACTTTCGCTTTCGCCCTTAGAGATTTCTCCCAGCTTCCCCCCGTAGTCCGTATCCGAGTCTATGCCTAGGCTTTCAATAGCTTCTTCCGGCACCCTTTTCGTCCGGCTTTTCCCTAGGCTGTTTGCTAGTCTCTCTCTCCGGTATTTTCCCAATTCTTCCCGTTTCTTCCCTCTTAAGTTTGCTATCCGTCCTAGGTTTCCTATCCAAGCTAGGTTTCCTATCCGTCCTAGGTTTTCTATCCGAGTCATTTCTTCCCTCCTAGGTTTCCTATCCGAGTCACGGCACCATTATGTCGCTCCCCCTCTTCGTGGAGGAGCAACACTGAACCCTGCGCTGTTCTTTCTGTCTGCTCGGCCCTCCCCGGGTTTGCTGCTGGTTCTTCCCGGGTTGGCTACTATCCCTTCCACCTCCGTGGAAGGGCAGTTCCCCCTGGCCGCATTCCCCACTTCCGCAGGGGAGCGGCACACCGCCAGCCGGCTCTTTCGGGGGCTGCACGGGTTCCCTTAGATGTTCCCCATAGATGTTTTTTTTGCATGCCGTCTCTCTCCTCCTTTATAGTCCTCCTCCGCCAATCCCAACTCGGCTGAGTACGCTGCTCTCCAATCAGGAGCAAGTCCTACAGTTAATTGGTTGAACTGGAGGCAGCTGTGCGGAAGCTGTTTACTTCTCTCCCAGCGCCATATTGTGGGAGAGCAGATGCATAGAATAAGTCCTAATTCGAGCAACTCAGTCTAGTCCGGATTGCTCCCCACATCCAGGAAGGACTAACTTCAGAATCTCTCTTGTATTTCTTTAGTAAAGACTTTTTTGGTTAGGAAACAGCATGTACTGTAGTATAAATTGACAAAGCTGTGATTTAACTCTCAGCTGTGGTTCTTTTTTTTTTTTTTTAATTTAGCAAGGATGAAGGATGGTAAGTCACTGCTTTTTAAAAAAAATAATAAAGCAAATAGTTATTATGTCCTGATTTGAAAATTAGAGAATATCTCAGCTGTTAGGTTCTGGCTTCAGGGTCTTTCATAAGGGCTACAGTAAAGAAATGGACTACGGCTGTGGTCATTGAAGGCTTGACTGGGGCTGGCAGTCTGCTTCTAAGTCGTCTTCTCCCTTCTTAATAATTATCCACCATGTACTCAATTCATAAATCACAAGTTTGTGATGCAGTTGTGAGTTACAGTTTCCAATTTCAGGAACTGGGGACTTCACAGTTGTCCCCTGTTCCTTGAAAGTATTAGAATAAAGGAAGATGCCAAAGATAATAACAATGTTGATTTCCCAGATAATATGAATTTGATGTCTCAAATTGGGAGGTGAGATTTTCCTGTGTTAGTTTCTGTTCTTAATGATCAGTGAAAGGTAATACTTGTTTTCACTGGGAGAGATACTTGTAGTCTCATCAAGTTTGCTACATCAATGTTACTATATCTATCTGCAGGGTGCCTGGGCTAACTGCTATAATATCTTTGTCCTTCTTCTTAGCCCTGGACACCATTTGCAAACGTGTGTAGGAAGGACAATGTGAATGGAGCGGTTCAGATCAGAGTTTGTTGAGTAGATATATGAACATTGCAGGAACATCAGAGAAATCTGTCACCCTTGTGTTGGTGAGGCAATGTGGGTAGAGCTTGTAGAAAGATGGACATTGTGATAAGCAATAAAATAAGTCAGGTTCACCAAATGCTGGACAATTGAGAAATCAGGGTTTGGTACTTTTCTTTAGTTATCACTGACTAATTGGAAGTTTGTCTTCTATGAAAAAGAATTCCAGTTTCTCATTTTTCCTATTTAGAAATACATATGTGGACATTTCTTTCCAACACAAAAAGATACTTACATTCATATGAAATAAGAGTAAAATACAAACATTTCAGATCATCTGGTGAAAAATTGAATAGGAAAGTGATGCTACTATTAAGTTAGAGTTTCCAGATTAAAATTATTTTAAAAAAACATACAGACTAGGGGCCGGCACTGTGGCGCAGCAGGTTAACGCCCTGGCCTGAAGCACCGGCATCCCATATGGGCACCGGTTCTAGTCCCGGCTGCTCCACTTCCGATCCAGCTCTCTGCTATGGCCTGGGATAGCAGTGGGAGATGGCCCAAGTCCTTGGGCCCCTATACCCGTGTGGGAGACCCGGAAGAAGCTCTTGGCTTCAGATCGGCGCAGCTCCAGCCATTGCGGCCAATTGGGGAGTGAACCAGCAGATGGAAGACCTCTCTTTCTGTCTCTACCTCTCTGTGTAACTCTTTCAAATAAATAAAATAAATCTTTAAAAAAAAAACATACAGACTAAAGGACTTAGTGTATTATATACAAAGTTTAGTATTCTGGGCTTGATAAAATTACATGTGTGATGTTTTGAAGTAAAGAGTCATGTGAATATTTCAATGGAATTTTTAATAGCTTTATTGTTACATAGTTTGCACTGTATAGTTTAGCAGTTTATTGAAATGTACTGCTCAGTGGTTTTTAGTATATTTATAGTACTGCACAACCATCAGTATAATCATATTTTAGAGCATTTTCATCCCTCCAGAGAGAAATCTTGTGCCCATCAGCAGTCACACCCATCTTACTTTCTTCTCTCCTCCTACCCCTGGAAAACCGCTAATTTGCTTTGTTTCTTTATAAATTTGCCTCTTGTGGGCATTTTATGTAAATGGAACAACAGGTAGCCTTTGTATCTGGCATTTCTCATTAGTTTTCTAGGTATATCCACGTGTAGTGTATCTCAGCACTTCATGACCAAAAAGGAATAACTCTTCTTTGGTAAAGTATCTATTCAGATTCTTTGCCCATTTTTATTCTACAGTTGTACACTTTATTTTAGATACACATTCCTTATCAGATGCCTGATTTATAGATATTCTCCCTAGCCTATCAATTGTCTTTTCTCTTTATATTTTTATAAAATATATTCTTTGAAGCACATAATTTTTTTTAACTTTGATACGGTCCTATTTATCTTTTTTTTTTTTCAGTACTTGTGCAAGGCAATGGAATTGTTTCTAAGAAATCATTATGTAATCCAAGGTCCTGATTATTAGTACCTATGTTTTCTAGTAAGACTTTTGTAGTTTTGGTTCTTCAATTAGATCTAGGAACTACTTTGGGTTCAGTTTTGTATATACTGTTAGGTGGCAGGACCGGCTGTGTCCAGATTCCTTGCTTTACATGTTGGTATTCAGTTGAACCAGCACCATGTGTTCAAAATAATTATTCCTTCCCCATTGTCTTGGCTTGTTTCTTGAAAAATCAGTTAACTAGGCCGGCACCGCAGCTCAGTAGGCTAATCCTCTGCTTGCGGTGCCGGCACCCCAGGTTCTAGTCCCAGTCGGGGCGCCGGTTCTGTCCTGGTTGCTCCTCTTCCAGTCCAGCTCTCTGCTGTGGCCTGGGAGTGCAGTGGAGGATGGCCCAAGTCCTTGGGCCCTGTACCCGCATGGGAGACCAGGAGAAGCACCTGGCTCCTGTCTTCTGATCAGTGTGGTGCGCAGGTCGCAGCGCGCTTGTCACAGCGCTCCGGCTGCAGTGGCCATTGGAGGGTGAACCAACGGAAAAGGAAGACCTTTCTTTCTCTCTCTCTCTCTCACTGTCCACTCTGCCTGTCAAAAAAAAAAAAAAAAATCAGTTAACTATAATGTTGCACTTTATTCTATTAGATCTATATATCTATTTGTGCCAGTACCTCTTTTGGTTTTTTGAGTCATTAATTTTTCTATTATTATGTAAGAGATGATAAAGTAACTAGTATATTTTTTATTTGGGATTCTTTCCCTTTAAAAAGCCATTCTGATTTCTCCTACTTACATTAGAAGCGTTCAGTATGTCCTCTGTTTAGGGACTTCTGACATACAATCTATTAGCTGATTTCTTTGGATCCATTAAGGTTTATTATACAAATATGCATGAATATTTAGTAAATAGTAAAAAGTAGCATTTATTTGATAGACTATAATGACCTGGTTACGTAGAGATTTTAAAAATGTGCACCAGCTTGTCTTGGCTGGCAGAAATGTCCCATGAGTCTCTTCCTTCTGTATGTGTAAGATGTGCACTTATGCTACACGACTTTCCCATCAGTGTATTTTGCTTTGAAGCAGATTTATTTTGTTGAGGATATTTCAGAAGTGTTTTTCTAATTTAATTTTCTAATCTTTTATTTCAAAAACTAAGAAAAAAGCTTTTATAAGGTGGCGTTCAGAAAGGAGGATGATTGTGCACTGGTGACTTTCATTTTGAACCTGTAAGCTAATTTCTGGGAGGAGCTGCTCTTTTTGTAACTGAGTCCTGGAAATTTATACTTGGAAAGGGAGGAAAACAAAGACTGTGTTGGCCCAATCACAACTCTGATCATTTCAACTGCAATTTGAAACTAGCACCAGAAATAAGTAGAACAACTTGGAAGAGCCCAACATTTAGCAAATGGTGATAACCTTGCAACAATCATCTGTTGTGGATATCAAAACCTGTCTGTTTAAAGCAGACTGTAGATAGTATGAAGGGAAAGAGAGTAAAGACAGATAGCGCCTGAGAGGTTGTGACCTTCTGCCTTTAAAATTATCTTCAGCAAGAAAAGTAGGGCTAAGACTGCCAAATGACGCTGTAATGTGGAATAAAGATTCTTAACCCTTATGAACAATGATCTGCAGACTGTGACAGCTGTGAAATCCTCAGAATGATGGGCCAACTCCCGTGAGCAAGAAGTTAAAGTGGCACAAAGAACAGGGCAACTGCTGTCCTGCGCTAAGATGTTGGTGATGCTCTTCTGAAAAGTTGAGAGATGTCTACGTCAGTATTTGAATTGTTTTAATGTAGTAGGCATTTTTGATTCCTTTAAGAAATCTTTAATTGCAACCTACATTTCAAAGTAGCGCTGCAAAGCATAGCAGTGCAGCAGGCGAAATCCTGCAACTGTAGTTTGACACATTTGTTGGTCTTTGCTTTTTAAAGTTCTGGCTTCTTCAGTCTTTAGAGATAGCTCCTTGCCCACCGGGGACCAGGAATAGGGAATAGGAGCCTATAGTTCTGTCTGGCATAAACTTTTATTTTAGGTTTTCAAGGCAGTTTCTTAGTAGTTGAATGCCATAGCTGGATTTATGGACTGCTCTATTTGACACATGAGCATAAAAAGCTTATTCTAAATTCTCTTTTGTTTCCGTGTTGAGAAAAAGAAAGAGGGAACAGAAAAGCAAATCTCTTAAAAGTACCATTGGAGAGAGCTTCCAAACACATGAACCGGTAAAATGTTTTTAAGTGTAACCTTCCAGTGTAGCAAGACTTCTAATGTATGAGCGTATAAATGAAGTTTCTTACTTAGAAGTGAATCTGCCAAGTGGATCTGGTCTGAGTGTTTTTTTCTTTTTTATTGTCCAACCCCCTCTGTCAGCAAGATAAGCCTTAGCTTCATATGACCTTGACCTTTGAACTTTGAAATATACTTCATAATGACTGGTGCTCCTCCTTTGACAAATTATTAAATTGTCGCAATGCTGTTTGCAGTGGAGTTCATTTTTAGAAACGAGATCGTCAGCTGTTTGGCATTGTTCTGGGATAGAAGGAGGGACCTCACCGCAGGGACAGGTTGCTTTGTAAGCTGAAACGTGTCAGTCAGCATACATAGAGGACTTCGTGAATGAAATGAAGAAAAGCGCTTCGCTGCGCAGGGCTGAAGGCATGTGGCAGATTTTTCTGGAAGGACAGAGGAGGTAGCATCAGCCAGCTGCAGTCAGCTTCCGCTGGGGATCTGCAAACAGCAGACTGCACCTTGAGTCCTTTTTGAAAGAGGATTCGATAGAGCAGTTTTGTATAAAAATGAAAATCTTCATAGTTTTCCAAGATTATCGTTTCCTGCTTTACCGAGACATAACTGACAAATAAAAATTGTGTATGCTTAAGCTGTTCAAGGTGTCGGTTTGATACATGTGTACATTGTGAAATGGCCGCCACAATCAAACTAATTATGGTATCCATTGCCTGATGCAGTTATAGTGTGTGTGTTGTGTGATAACACTAAAGACGCATTTTCATAGCGAATTTCACGTCTCTAATATATATCAGTGACTGCAGTCACCATCCTGTACGGAGATTGCCAGACGTCACTCATCTTCACACCGAAAGCCTTTGCAGGATCTCTGTTCCCTCCACTCCTGACTGCCGCCCATGGGGCATCTCTCTCTGATCACTGGATGTGAAATGCTGAGTGATCTTCCTGATTGATTTGCATATCTTTGGGTCAGATGGCAGCCGGAGTTCTAGGGCTGGAAGGGGCTTGCTGTGGGTTACCCCTCTCTGTCTGCTGTGCAGTGGCTGGGAGCTGCTTGATCATGAGCAGCCTTCTAGGTGGGAACTTCCCTCACGCGCTACTTTCCATTGTAGCTTTCATGCCGCCTCTGAGCATATTCAGAATTAAAAATAGGAGGGTACTTCAGAAGTCTAGTGAAAAATGGAGTTGAAAGAGTTTGTTTTGGTTCAAAAATTTCCTTTTTTTTTAAGATTTTTTTTTTTTTGAAAAAGTTACAGAGAGAGTTAGAACCAGAGAGAGAGACAGAGGTCTTCCATTCCACTGGTTCACTCCCCAAACGACCACAGTGGCCAGAGCTGATCTGATCTGAAGCTAGGAGCCAGGAGTTTCCTCCGAGTCTCCCATGTGGGTGCAGGGGCCCAAGGACTTGGGCCATCTTCTACTACTTTCCCAGGCCATAGCAGAGAGCTGGATCAGAAGAGGAGCAGCCGGCACTCAAACCGGTGCCCACATGGTATGCTGGTGCTGCAGGCTGGGGCTTGAACCCACTGCGCCACAGCGCCAGCCCCCCAAAATTTTCTTAAATCATACGTGCTTGTATATGCTTAAGACTTCTTAGTCAATCCAGTATTCAACCATCAGCAAGTGCTAATTTTTGTTCTAATAATTACATATAAACTACAATGAATAAATACCTTTATTTCTTCTGGGTACTATGTAATAAATTGTGGTTCCACTCCTGGAACTTCATTTCATGCTGTCAAATACCAGAATTAACAACAACAAAAAATCAACGTACAGGAAGTAAAACATCAGTGTAACCTTTGCAGACATTTCTTTTTAGGCATGTAAAACCAAGTTGTAAAATAGCATTATTGTTGGAGTTTACTTGGGTGGGTTTTTCTGTTTATGCTGGACTGGTAGAGGCTAAAAATAGAAACCTAATGCTTAAGATAGAAATCCTTTTTAGGGGCAAGTGCCATGGCTCACTTGGTTAATCCTCTGCCTGCGGCGCCGGCATCCCATATGGGTGCCAGATTCTGTCCCAGTTGCCCCTCTTCCAGTCCAGCTCTCTGCTGTGGCCCAGGAGTGCAGTGGAGGATGGCCCAAGTGCTTGGGCCCTGCACCCACATGGGAGACCAAGAAGAAGCACCTGGCTCCTGTCTTCGGATCAGCGCAGCGCCAGCCATAGCGGCCATTTGGGGAGTAAACCAACGGAAGGAAGACCTTTCTCTCTGTCTCTTTCTCTCACTGTCTGTAACTCTACCTGTCAAATAAATTAAAAGAAAGAAAGCAAGAAAGAAATCCTTTTTAGTCCCAAAAAGAAAGCTTGATTGCTTCAAAAATTTTTTGCTCTTTGGCTGTGTAACGCCACTAACGCCATAGGTTTTGATCGCAGCCATTGTTAACTAGCAACATCAGCACAAACTAAACCCAGTCCTCCCACGGATGTATTTGCCTTGAATCTGCTTCTTGAACAGGGCTTTACGTCAGGGTTCATGGTAGGTGCTGTGCAAATGTAGTGTCCTGGTTTCAGGACGGCAGCAGGTTTTCAGAAGCACATGAGTGGCACAGTGTTGGTGAAATGCAGTTTAAAAAGCTGTAAATCTGAGTGGTGACTTGGTAAGAAAATGAATATTCCAAGCCTTATGAGAAGGGAAAATGCAAACATGTGTATTTGTGTACATAAATGTGCTTAGGTACATGTCACCCTGGGGTAACTTTACAACCCTGTGTTTGTTTGTTTGTTTGTTTTTGACAGGCAGAGTTAGAGAGAGAGAGAGAGAGAGACAGAGAGAAAGGTCTTCCTTTTTCCGTTGGTTCACCCCCCAAGTGGCCGCTACGGCTGGTGTGTTGAGGCCGGCACGCTGCACAGATCCAAAGCCAGGAGCCAGGTGCTTCCTCCTGGTCTCCCATGGGGTGCAGGGCCCAAGGACCTGGGCCATCCTCCACTGCACTCCCGGGCCACAGCAGAGAGCTGGCCTGGAAGAGGAGCAACTGGGACAGAATCTGGTGCCCCAACCAGGTCTAGAACCCAGGGTGCCGGCGCTGCAGTCGGAGGATTAGCCTAGTGAGCCGCAGCGCTGGCCACAACCCTGCGTTTTTTTCTAAGCATTTCGGATTTCCCTTGCCCCCATTTGCCTTTTTCTTTTTAATTTTCTAATTCAGTTTCAGCCAGTGTTCTTAGATGTTCCCAACAGTGGAGATTGGAATGAGTTCAATGTGTAACGCTGTTGAACTAGTTGTCCTGCCCTGCTGCCAAGGTCACCAGGAGGATCCTCACGGGGTGTTGGGAAGAGGGTGTTGGGAGGAGATACCATAGGACTGGGGTTGGTGTGAGGTGATTGAAGGGAAGTTCAGCCAAGCAGGGCGTGGCTCCACATTGGATGCTGTCAGAAACAGAGAGCAATTCCACATGTGGGTTAAGAAATCTTACCTAAAAGAAGGAAAGACTAAACCAGGGCCGAAGTCATGACTGGTTAAGAAGCAGCAGCCTCTTATTTTATCCAGGACAGAATGTTTGCTCATTTCTCTGTCTTATAAACTTACTGCATTCAGATGTGATTATGGAGTGATCTTGTTTTTGTCCTGATCCTTCATGGTCATGAAGTGGCCTTGTCTGTTGTTGGTATCCTGTGCAGTTGTTGATATTCACCCAGAGAACACCAAGGCCTGGCTGTGAGTGCCAGGCCAACTTCGAGATGTCAGCTTTTCTTTTCTCAGTTGGAAGAAAAAGTAAAAATGTCTGGCTTTTGGTAGATCGCTTCTGCTTAAGGTATTTTACCAAAACGTATGCTATCTGTTTGTAATTTTTATAGAAATATATAGAGATATTCATAGAGGGCTATACAACAAACAATTAATAGTATTTGTATTAGTTTATTTATTTTTTTAACTTTTATTTAATGAATATAAATTTCCAAAGTACAGCTTATGGAGTACAATGGCTCCCCCCCCCCATACCGTCCCTCCCACCTACAACCCTCCCCTTTCCCACTCCCTCTCCCCTTCCATTCACATCAAGATTCATTTTCAATTATCTTAATATACAGAAGATCAGCTTAGTATACATTAAGTAAAGATTTCAACAGTTTGCTCCCACACAGAAACATAAAGTGAAAAATAATAGATGATTTTTTTTAAATGATGATGAAATCAGATCAGACCTATTGTCATGTTTGATCCCAGTGAGAGTCAAGTTCGGAGTTGATAATTTCTTTTTTTTTTTTTTTTACTTATTTATTTTTTTAATTTTTTTTTTTTACAGAGGATCAGTTTAGTATGCATTAAGTAAAGATTTCAACAGTTTGCACCCCCATAGAAACACAAAGTGAAATATATTGTTTGAGTACTCGTTATAGCATTAAATCTCAATGCACAGCACATTAAGGACAGAGATCCTACAGATTTATTTATTTATTTGAAAGAGTTACACAGAGAGAGGAGAGTCAGAGAGAGAAAGAGAAAGAGAGGTCTTCCTTCCGCTGGTTCACTCCCCAATTGGCCGCAATAGCCCGAGCTGTGCTGATCTGGAGCCAGGAGCCAGGAGCTTCTCCTGGGTCTCCCATGGGGGTGCAGGGACCCAAGGACCTGGTCCATCTTCTACTGCTTTCCCAGGCCATAGCAGAGAGCTGGATGGGAAGTGGAGCAGCCAGGAGAAGCGCTCACATGGGATGCCAGCACTGCAGGCGGAGGCCCCACCCACTACACCACAGCACCGGCCCCAGTGTTAGTTTATGACAAAATTGTAAATATTCTCCGTGACCTTCATTGGTATTTCTTCTTCTTTTTTGTAGTAAGCATGCATTACTTTTAGTATAATAAAAATTAATGAGAAGGTATAAAGTAGTCTTCACTATTTTAAAGTTTTATTTATTTTTTTTAGATTATTTATTTATTTGGATTATTTATTTATTTATTTGGGGGCAGGAAGGGAGACAATGCTCCAGTTCGCTGGTTCACTGCTTCAAATGCCTGCAGCAGTTGTGGCTGGACTGAGGCTGAGCCTGAGAGCCAGGAATGCAGTCCAGGTCTCCCACACGGGCGACAGGAACCCAGTTACTTGAGACTTCACCACTCCCTCCCAGAGTCTGCATTGGCGGGAAGCCGGAATCACGAGCCAGAGTTGGGAATCAAACGTAGACACTCTGATGTGAAATGTGGGCATTGTAACCACTAGGCTGAACACCCTCTCCTCAGCTATTTCAGATCTTGTTTTAACTTAATGCCCCATCGTATGAAACTCCCTACATTATTGAAGTCTATTCTTCCAGCCATCTTGCAGATCTATATAATTTTCCTGACTATTCTCCATTGAACCTTTAGGTTGTACCCAGTGTTTGTCATAAAGCATGCTGCAATGACTCTCGAAACCTTTGGGTGTGAACATTGATCTGTTCTTCTGACTGTTTTCCTAGTATTGGAAGATTGAGTCAAAGTCATGATTATTTTTTAGGCATTTGATAATACTTATCAAGTGCAAGTGCATTCCAGAAAACTTACATCAATTTATACCAGATATGTGTGAGTATGTATTTCACCACATCTTTGCCAATCTGATATATAAAGGTATTCAATTGTTCTGTTTTGTAATATGTTTGAATTATTAAGAGATTTTGAGCATCTTTGTTAGTCACTTTTAGATCTTCCTTTGTGATTTGTTTGATTATATTTTTTGCTCAAGGCAGTTTTTAATATTTACCGTAGAAGCTAGGACAATGAAGACTGTCTACTTGATATTTATTGTCAGTTTGAGCACAAATTATTGCTGCTTACTGAATAGCCTGCAGCCTTTTCTCCAATTTTGGCTAAATCTGGAATAATTATTCGTGTGCCCAGAGAGGCATTATGTAGGAGGCTAAGTGCGACTTTGGAGTAGACACTGAAGTACATATAGAGAGGATGAATATCTGTTGCCAGGTGGATGTGAGTCTACCCAACAGCCATCAGTTCTGCCACCTCGGTGGACACTATCAGTGACTGGCCCACGTGCCCCATTAACCCTAGGTTTTTATGAAGGTGGTAAGAGGGTAGATTATAAAGCATGAAGGCAGGTTCATGTCACTTGGTTTCTTTTGCGGGTGGTGTCCTGATCGCTCTCTTTTTTTTTTCCCTTTTGCTTCACTTTGAATTGATTTCAGGGCTTATTTAAATCATAAACCTGTACATTCAGGTAACTTTTTGTCTTACTCAAGACTTGCCACTTGTGTCTTTCTCTTTCATGTACTTACATGAGAGAATCTCTGTCTCTGCATTCATCTATCATTGAGATGTTTAGTTAAAATCAGAAATATTTGTTCATTGCACACAACATTAATTTAAGTTTAATCACCCACTGAATGACTTTTGTGTTGATTCTGCCCTACCGATGCAGGGGTCCAACTTTGAGCCCAGCCTCAGAAATGGATCCTTACACAGTAGCAAACTAGAAAAGAAACACAGTGTATTTGGCATTAACCAGCTCTATTAAGTCCACAGGATTCACGTACAAGATTTTCTTTTAGTGGTAAAATTTTTAGTAAGTGTCCCTAATCATTTCTGAAAGGATATTCACAGTTATAAATTTACATGTGCAGACACTGCAATTGCTAGTTTAAATAGGACCCTTCATGCACTGGCTTGATTGCTAAGCAGTATGATGGATAGGTGGATTCTTAGATCTTTATCTGCCATCCCTAGTTTTTTAATAAAAAGGAAACTGCTCCTAAATGGTACCTCTAGTGTTTAGCTTCCCTTGTTACCATGGAACCTGAAGTGTAGATTTCTTGGTTGGTAAATTGACTGTGACCTCATCCTGATATGGTATTTTTTAAGTTTCAAAGCATAGTTCTATTTTCGTAGTTTTCACAAGATCAGTTAAATTCAAAGACTTGTCCCAAGTCTGTGTTGCAGGGGGGTCACGGTGTTTACTCCAATGCTGCCTGTCGGAATGGGCTCTGGGCATCCCTGAGTGTGGAGACTTTCTGTGGTAGCACTGTTTGGTCTGTGTTAACTTCTTTAGACATGTTAGACTACCTGTAGGGAAAGGAGATTGGAGGATCATTGCTCGTCCAGAAAATAGCCACCACATTTAAAACAATATTCTATTGGGGAACTTCCATCTTTGTTTTTCCATGTGTTGAGTTCTCTCTTGATGCAGACTGTGAACCTGTTGGTGGTGTTTAGAAAAGCTGTGTGTTTTAAATGTTGGTCCTGAGCTAAAGCAGGAGGCAAAATAGAGGCACTTGTGCTCCCCAGTTTTCTGTCTGTCTTTCTGCCTCCATTAAGATTCAAGTCTCCTGCCTGCTGTCAGTAGCCGGTCATGGCCCCAGGCCTTCTCCACGCTTACTAATGTTTTCCCTCCCTGTGTTTTTTCTCACTCGCCTTCTGGACTTTTTAAGTTTCCTTCACGATCTTTCTTAATCTCAGCTTTTCAAATCCTCCTGTGACAAGTGCCCGCCCCCACCCCTCATTGTGCCCCGCGTCTGCTCTTGCTGAACCTGTCGTGCGTGGTGTGCTGTAATCTCTACCTCGAGCATCCCAGCACCTTCTCTGACCTAAGAGAAGTGATCTTTTTGAAATCCTTGTTTCCTTTAAGCCCCTTGAACCTTCCAGTAGGAACCCAGTTGGTACCCAAGACTTCCCCATGGTCTGGAAGACTTTTCTCAGACACGCAGCGTCTGAGACTTTCCCTGCCCACGCCTCACTTTCCTGCTTGCCTCCGAAGCCGGCAGAGTTACTGGCGCTGGAGAAGCCTGAAGGAGCCAAGTGATTCATAAACGTGAAAGATCACAGGGTGATTAAAACAAGGCCAATCATGCCCCTTTCCTCCATCAGGGAGGAGTGAGTGATGGGTAATGATGGGCATTAGGCTGTGGCTTTATTACATCGTGATAGGAATCTCGCCACACGTGTGGGAGATTGTGAGCTGCGCATCCTTACGCCACTCTATAGTGTAGCGAAGCATTAGATAGATTTATCAGCACAAAACATAGGAGAATAAAGTATATTGCTGAGGATGTGAGCACTCCTATTGAAATATAAGTACTGAGAGTGCTGACTGCCAGAATGTGGATTTATGGGAAATAAAGCCCTAAAATACTTTCTCCAACAACAACAAAAAAATATACCTCTTGGAAACAGCTTTTGCTCTCTCTGTACTTAGCTCCCATTGAGCTTAAATTGCTCTCAGTATTGTGATAATGACAATTCAATATTACAGGATGCGGAAGATGAACCAAATAAATTAACCAGCTGCTTTTAAGGGTAGCTCGCTCAATGGCTCACTCCCTAAAATGCTTTGTAGAACATTCGTGCTCAGTAGGTCTCTAGGCAGTTTTATGACTAGAAGAAAGGAATGGATTTTATTAAATGTCAGTGAAATAAAGGCAGATAGTGTTGTGGTAGTTAAATTAGTGTAGAATGTTTTTAAGAAAAGTAGTTTATCTTTTCTTAAATCACTAAAGCAGAACTTTCCTTGGCATTGCTGCCAGAAAATGTGTTTCTGCTTGAAATTCCCATAGATTGGGTTTTTTTTTTTAAAAAAAAGCAAATGGAGAGTGGATCATTTCTTCTCCCTCTTGTAGGATACTCTGTATCCTATGGAGTAAATATTATAAATAAATTTCCACACAAGAGTTGCAGAGAACAAAAATGAGAATGACTTCAAGATTACTAGCTGAAACTTAGGGTTTCACATGGATTGGAAAGTTAAGCTCATGAGCAAAGAATAAAAAAGGGATGGAGAGGCAAGACGGAAACAAATGCTCCAAGGGGCTAGGCCTGTATCATGAGGGCAGGTGCAAGAGCTGGGAGAAGTGGATACCAGGTCAGTGAAGACAGCCTTCAGAAGGGCACACAAAGAAATCACTGTTCAGGCCAAATTCACGGTCAGTAATTTGTCCCTGAAGTAAAGGAACCGCAGTTACTGAAAGTGAGTAGAGGAAGACTGACCTTAAAAATAATGTTGAAAGTTTTGACAAGTTATATCCCCTGGCCTTGAGCAAAGGAAAATAAACCAACATGATGGGAATTGGACATAGGATCAGTGTGAGTGAGTGAGTCCTTTGTAAAAGTGAAAATGTGTTAATTGTATAAATAGGTCACAGGATTCTTTCCTTTAAATATCGAGATTAGGGCAGATTCCAGTTGTTCAAAAGAGTTTAGAGGCATTACTAACTAATGGTGGGCTGAGTAGCTAACTGGAGTGTTGGACAGTTCCACAGCTCCTCCTGTGTGTGGGCAGAGAAGTAAACAATTAGGATTAGTAGGCGTAGGAAAGGCTGCTTACTGTCTAATATTTATTATGCCTGATGTATCTGGGAAAATATGAGTGCAAGATATGGTCCCTTTCTGCCATGCGTGGACAGTCTGTTGGAAAGGAAGTACAAGTTAACGCAAGTGACACACAAATCTTTGTGATTTAACACCAAGATAAAGCACCATACTCATTGTGCTCTGCTGAAACCAGCATGATCATAAAAGGCATATAGAACCAAAGAATTCAGAGGAAGTTGTTTGACTTACAAAAGAATTCCCCTAAGTGGTGATTTTCCTTAATATATTTAAGATTCTTTCTTGACAGATAATTTCTTATTTTTCAAACATAAGGCCTAAAGGTAAAGTGATTTGGAATTATAAGATTAGCATCCCTAATCCAAAAATCTGCGATCCAAAATCCAGAACGTTGAAAAGAACCATGTGGAGCATTTCAGATTTTGGATTTTCAGATTAAGGATGCTCAGCTGGTACAGTATATGCAATTATTATTCCAGAATTCACAAAAACTCTGAAATCTGAAACTCTTGTGTTTTCAAGCATTTCATATACTCAAGCTATCCTGCTGTTTGAGAAAATATAACAAAAATAACAGGAGTCCTGTCTCCAATTATAATGTTAATTCATTAAGCTTAGTTTCATTTACAGAAGTTAGTATATTCCATTTTTGTTTGAGCAGTTGTTGCATAGAATGGCATGGACCTGTCTGTACCATAAACATAACATCGAGAAGCTTTTTTGCTATTCCGAGTCCATGTCAGAGCGAGATCCACAAGGTTTACTGGAGTCAGCCTTGAGATGAACTGAATGCAGAATTCTTCCTTTTCTTCCTGCCCTCTGCTGGAAAATTTCCTAGGAGCCAGAACAGGAGACAAAGGGAAGCTGGAGTCCAGCCAGCCGCAGCTCCCTGCACGACTGCAAGCAGACTTAAAGCTGCGAGTTTGAATTGTGGTCGGAATTGCAACAAGATTTTATTAAAAATTTCTAAAGAAGTTAATATTTTATTTAAAAAGTAGGTATGGTTTACATAAATTAGTTCCAACACATTTTTAATATTCTTCAAACATTCCTTCCTCAAGTAACAGGGAATTTTTTGTTACTGTTTATTGTTTCAAGTATAACCCTAAATTATCCTGATTATGAAAAGAAGAGGATGGATTTTCATCCCCATTAATGTGTTAGCATTATACTGTAATTCACAATATTCAGTGTAGAATACCTATAAAATACAAATAATCAATGTTGAATCTCCTGGAATCCGTTTCTGTAATTATGATATCTTTGTGATACAATTTTCATATTTTCCCATAATATTTATATGTGAATATACATTCATATTTTGTTTAAAGGATATTATATCTTGTACTGTTTAGTAATCTGTTTTTTAATTGCATATGCCCCGAGCATCTACTTAGGTTCATGCATCTACACAGAGAAAGTTGTTTAAAAATAGACACATGCTCTACAGTTACCTTGCCTTAGCACCCTGTGCTTGATCACGCCTTGGTTGTTAGTCTGTTCCTCACTGTCATAAATAGCTTTGCATACATCTTTACTTGTCTTAGCGCAGATCTGTTCTTAGCATAAACACACAGGCGTGGACCTACAGGATCGTTTTTAAGGCTGCGAATCCACCGTGCTCGCAGATCCTCCTGCTCAGTAGTTTGCAGGCAGCTCTTTCCCGCACACCTTCCCTCCCCACCTCCAGGCCTGACAATATCACTCTGATCCATCTTTGTCATGTCTTTTCTTTTTCTTTTATCTACCAATTCTAGGACCATTGCTCTGCTGTTTTGCTCATTAAATTTATAAAATGATTTGCCATCTCGCTGGGCAAACCCGCCCTATCCCCCCCAAATTACTTAGTTTTTTAAAACACATTTCTTCCCATCCTCCTTTCCCCAAATGAATGTTTAGCATTTTAAGAGTTCTAGACATAATACTTGGAGATTTTCTGAGGGCTTGCATTAAAATCACAGATGAATTTAGTGACTTCAGCTCTTCAGTTAGGATTTGGGGCCTTGTCCATGAACACAAAGTAGCTTTCCATGGATTCAGATCCGGTTTTATATCCCTCAAGTGTTCATTCAGTGAGTGTGTGCACAGCTGTTTTTGTTCCTACTCACTTTCAGATCTCTAGATGTTTCCCTGTTTACAACTTTGATTGCATCCCTAAAGTTTGGGTTTGTCATGTTTATATTCTCATTTTCCAAGTATTCTGCTTGTAATACAATTTCTTCTTTTGCCCAAGGACTGAGAGTATTTTTTTAAGACCTGCTTTATTTTTCTTGTCTTCCAGTACTAATTTCTTGCTGAATTTTATTGTTACCTTAGAATGGTAAGAAGAATTACATTTTTTTAAGTTCTGGGTTTTTCAGTGTCTTACTTGCATGTGAGCCAGGAGCTGGAGATTTCTCTTCCGGGTAATTCCGGTTCTTGTCATAAATTGCGTTTTTCCCCAACCGTGCTTGCCAGGTGACACTGGAACATTAGTAGCTACGTGAGTTGACCCAAGCCTTTGTGTACAGGGTCTTCTCACTTCCAGCCCACATCATGCTGCACCGGGGAGGTGTTTGCCCATTCTGGTACCCACTCCACCAACTCCTTCCCAGGAAGGCTTTTTCTGGAAATGAGTGAAATCAGCGGCCTTCCCTGGATCTTCTTTTTTGCATCTTCTACAGTATTTTTAACTTCAAATGTGGAGTATATTTAATTTTTCTAACACACGCACTTTTCTTCTCTAAATTCTGCATTGGTCGTTTCCAGGTGGGGATCGGTGAGGGAGGGAGATTGGCTGCAGCGTTCCACCACACTTCTCTCCTGGCCGTCCAAGCATTCTTTCCAGCAGGTGGTTAGTGAGTGCTCACTGCGCCCGGCCCCTGCTCAGCGGCCTCTCCAGCAGACCCGGGCTGCAGTTTAGGATCAGCAGTTGGGTCTCGTGTATTTCTCATGTTGAAAAGAATTTTTATTAGTTGTGGGTGTTTACTTATTTTATTTTTTAAGTTTTTATTTATTTGTGAGGTAGAGTTCCAGAGAGAGGGGAGAGACAGAGTAAGGTCTTGCATCCGCTCGTTTACTCCCCAAATGACCACAACGGCCAGAGCTAGACCAATCCGAAGTCAGGAGCCAAGAGCTTCTTCCTGGTTTCCCGTGAGGATGGAGAAGATGGGCCATCCTCCACTGCTTTCCCAGGCCATAGCAGAGAGCTGGCTCGGAAGAAGAGCAGCCGGGAGATGAACTGGTGCCCATTTGGGATGCTAGCACCACAGGCGAAGGTTTAGCCTATTACACCGCAGCACCAGACCCTTATTTTTATTTTTTTGAAATCTGTTTATTTATTTATTTTGAAAGAGTTATATATGGAGAGAGGGAGAGACAGAGAGCACTCTTCCATCTGCTGGTTTACTTCCCAAATGGGTACAATATCCACGGTTGGGCCAGACTGAAGCCAGGAGCTTCATCCAGGTCTCCCATGTGGTGGCAGGGGGTCAGATGCCTGGGCCACCTTCTGTTGCTTCTCCTAGGCCATTAGCAGGAAGCTGGGTCAGAAGTGAGGCAGCCTGGGCAAGAAGCAGCGGCCATATGGTATGCGGGCATCACAGACCAGCTTTTCTCGCTACATCGCAACGCTAGTTCCAGCTGTATAGTTTTCATGGAGTGTGTTCTTCTCTCTAACAGGAATGGATCTCCAAGTTCTCTCTGCTCCTTTCCTAAATTTCAAATCTGTCCTCTGACAAAATACTGGCCTAACACCTGGGCTCTGTTCTCTGTGAGATGGCATAGGGAGAATGAATCACAGACAGAACACATGCTGAGCTCTCTCACTAGGGGAGCAGGAAAACAATGTGGTGGTGATTTTTTTAAAAAAAATTTTTATTTATGTATTTATTTGAAAAAGCCAAAGAGAGAGAGAAAATCTTCCAGTTGCCTGTTCACTCCCATTTGGCCACAACACCCAAGCCGGGAGCCAGGAAATCCATCCTGTTCTCCCATATGGGTGGCAAGAACACAAGTACTTGGGCCATCATCTGATTCCTTCCCAGACGCATTAGCAGGAAGCTGGTTTGGAAGTGGAGAAGCCAGAACTTGAACCTGTACGACAATATGGGCTGTCTTCCTCACAAGCGGCAGCTTAACCCGCTGCACCACAACACTGCCTATCAACTGGTGATTTTTTTTTTAAAGATTTTGTTCTTTTATTTGAGAGGTAATGTTATAGACAGAGAGAGAGGTCTTCATCTGCTGGCTCACTCCCCAAATGGCCGCAACTGCCGGAGTTCTTCTGGGTCTCCCACATCAGTGCAGGGGCCCAAGCACTTGGACCATCTTCGGCTTTCCCAGGCCATAAGCAGGAAGCTGGATCAGAAGAGGAGCAGCTGGGACATGAACCAGCATCCATATGGGATGCCGGCACTACAAGTGGAAGCTTAGCCCGCTACGCCACAGCACCGGCTCCACAAATAGTGATTTTTACATTTGAACCTGAGATAGGAGAGGGCACGATGTGTTAAAGGTCATGAGCGGGTAGGACATAGCTCAGGGGAAAGACTGAGCCAAATGTGTTCCATAAAAATCCCTGCTTCCAGTCTCCACTGTGGAAATTGTAGGGCTGTGTTGCTTTTCCATGGGTAATGAGAATTTCAAATTGTGATATCATTTGAAAGTGACTATACTTAGCTTCCTTGTGCAGACGATACGTACTTTATTTTAGGCTTTTTTGTCTTACATTCCTTCTGCCGATAGGACCTGTTGAGAAAGATACATAGGAAACACAAGTCGGATGTGAATGTATTCTCTTTCTGCTGTTAATGTGATTTTTTTTCCATCTCTGCGGGTGGGGAGAGGACACAAAATATACTGAGGTGAACTGAAATTGCCTCTAGTGATAGGAATTTTGAAAATACTGTTAAGGAATCTGTTAGCAGCGTTTGCTCTTAAAGAGTAAATGTATTTCAGGATTGTATGCTTTCAGTTATGCATTGTATTAATGTCTTTCCTTAAAGGATTTAAATTTGATATATCAAGAAAAATATTTTTGTTTTACTCTAGTGATGCATGAATTACCAGAACTATGTCTTCATCAAAGTCTATGTCTTTGGACAGTTATGTTTTTCATTAAAATTTATTCAGCAAATGTTTTAAACTATAGATTCTTCCCTTAAAAATAAAAGCCCATAGTTAGTATAAACTTTTAAAATAAACTTAATTCTGAAGCAGCTTTTCCTATTTTGTGATAAGAGTTACTGCTCAGAAATTACTACTTGTCCTGGGTTGAATGAAAAATGTGAGCTTTTGTTTGTAACTATTGCAGTTTCATAAGTGACTGATACCTTATTTGCAGTGAAAATCATAGATGGTTTGTGTTTTCCAATTTACAAAGTAAAGTAGTCTATTGGTAACATTTGAAGAAACTTCTGTGATACAAGTCGTTGGAATTAACTGCAGTGTGCTGTTTTCCATGAATCTTGGTATTTTGGTGCCATCTTGTGGCTTGTCTCTGCAGTGACTTCATTACGCAAATCTGTTTTAAAAACTGTCTCCCGGAGGATAAGATATGCTGGGAATTTTTCCCAAAATGTAAACCATCTACTACTATAAATCTACATTAGAGAATGTCAAGAATGACTTGTTTGTTATTTAGTCCCATAGGAGGCAAAAAACTAAGGGTTCGAGTGCACTTGTATGGCTGTCAGTTTCTAAAATTCCGTGTTTACGCTCATTGTCCCTAGTTGCTGCTGTTTGAGCGGTCGTGGATGAACAGATGGAAGTCTTCCGTTCTGCACGAAGGGGAAGGAAACATAAGGAACGTGAAGTGGAGAGGCCATCTCATTGCTTGGGCCAATAACATGGTAAAACCACATTTCCTTCTAAGTCCCCCCCCCCATCATTTATTTTATATATTTGAAAGTCAGAGTTACAGAGAGGAAGGAAGAGACAGCGAGAGATATCTTGTGTCCACTGGTTTACTCTGCAAATGGCTGTAACAGTCGGAGTTGGGCCAGGCCGAAACCAGGAGCCTGGAACTCCATTCAGGTGTCTCCAGTGCGTTGGCTTAACCCAGTGCACCACAGTGCCAGCTCCTCCCTCTTGTTCAGTGGTACCAGTGGGCTGGAATGATAGGACTGTAACACAGGGTGGAGACAACACTCACTGTGGAGTCATTTATAAAAGATGGCATGGCAGTTGATATACCTCCAAGGTTGAAGTAATTAGACTGCTCTTGGCTTTTATAATAGCATAATTCCCAGCATATTTGGGTAGAGTCTGAACCTGAGGTGTGGAGAGTAGCCTAGAAAATGAAAAGCCACCATAATAGATGAGGGGCTGCATTAGAAATGTGGTCTTGAAAATACTATTTGCCTATTGGCCAAGGGCAAGTAACAGTTGATATGAAACAAGTACTATTGCTGTTTCCCTTTTATGTCCTGTATAATTACAAGCAAAAACATAAACCTGCCTTTTAAAATATATATATATATATTTATTTATTTAAAAGGCAGAAGTGG